AGTGGTAAGTGCCCCCTGGTGTGGGATTCGATTCTCCCGAGTATATATATATATATATATATATATGAATATTAGAAATTAAGTAAATCTTTTTTTTTAATGAAAATATTTGTTTCTAAAAGGAAAGTAAGAGGAAGCTGTAAAATGTGACGAACTTATTATATGTGCCGTAACCGGAAAACAGCAATTTCTCCTTGTCTTTCCGTCGTCCACCGGAGTCTACAGCCCATCATATAAATAAAACCTGACCGCAGGCTGGGCATCGAAGGCTGCTCCGCTTCTACTTCGTTGCCTTGCCTGCAAGCAGAGCCACCCAACTGCCTCCTTTCATCCTCTGCTTCCTCTAACACTCTGTTGCGGTTTACCCATTTCTTGATCGTCGTTAATGGCAGCGGCAAGCCAAGCAAGTCTGCTCCTTCAGAAACAGCTGAAAGGTTTGCTTTATGAACTTTAGGGTTTACTGTAAGTTCATCGCGCGATGATATATGATGATTCAATATTTGTTTTGTTGTCCTGTGATTAGATCTCAGCAAGAATCCGGTGGACGGATTCTCTGCCGGCCTTGTAGATGATTCTAATATCTTTGAATGGAGCGTGACCATCATTGGGCCGCCGGACACGCTCTAGTGAGTAATTGTTTTGGAAATTGTTTGGGTTTTACCTGCGATTTCGTTTTCATCATTGATAGGTTGAGCGAGGTGTTGTATGGATATGTTGGGCGTTCAGGTGGAAGAATAAAGTTTTTTTAATTGTTTGATCTGAATTCTTCTGTTATTTATAATAGGGAAATGGTTTAAATTGACCTAATTTCTTCGAATATTATGATTCTCGAAGGCTCTGTTATGGGTAGCGGTTTCTTGAATGATAAAGCTTTTCCAATTTATTGTAATTTGTTCTCTTTCCAGGGCATGTTTTTTGTTTTAAATCTCTAGGCTTTAGTATGTACTAAAGAAAACACAGGATCTGCAAGCGATCATAAATTAATCAACTATTAATTGTTGTTTATATTTATCTTGATATGGTTCTGACTCAGGGATTGTAATCTGATTGCTGGGTTCTTCTTCTGAAACAATTGCAAGTGCTAGTAGTATCTGTTAGAAATTCCGAGGGTCTTGTTCATCTCATAAATATAACCATCATCATCATTATTTTAATCCCAACTATTGGGAGTCGACTTTAGGAATCCTCATAATCCATTCCCTTCTTGTGCTGCTCACTTTCAAGCAGGATTGAAAAATATTTTCAGATATATTTTGAAGCTTTGTTTCATGAAAACTGTAAAAATAACATGAAAATCTCCATGCTTCGATGATGTCAATATTGACAGCAATCGTGATGTTAAGCCTGTAGCCACTGTAGTTCTAGAGGTTAAAACAGTGTTATAGAAAGGAATTTAGGTGGTTTAGGGTCTATCCTGTAGAATTGCCAGTAGATAAGGACTAAATTCTCTTAATTGTGGAGCTTAGATTTGCAAGTATCCTTGCATAGAGTTGTATGGATCCATATAAAGATAGAGGCTCTTTTATCTTTCTTGTTGTTTGTGTTACTTGTCCACTGCATAGTAGAGAATTGCAACATGAATGCTTTTTAGAGTTATAGGTATCCGTTTGGTAATTTCTTATGGGATTCATGGATATTTAAGAAGGGTGTCAGGAATTGTTTGGAAAAGGTATAAGGTATAAGTTTGTAATTTACTTAAATAGTTGTTTGTGAAAGGTGAGATTCCTCATTCATGCAAAGCAAAAAAGAGGTAAAGTACCTCATGTACTTCCTTTCTATTCCCAAGTGATTTACTTTACAAAGGGATGTATCTTGACAATGCCTTTGTTAAGGTGAGGATTTTTTTAATACCATATAGTTTACTAAATTTACTTTTTTATTTGTAGATTTTTCTTTCTTTTTGTAAATTTGATGTGTTTGTTATATGTTTAAACATCTTAAAATGATGATGAATTTAAGTATTTTAAGCTTCTTCTCTATTTTGGTAAATTGCAAGACCTAGTTAAAAGGTAGAAAATTATCTTATTATTATACTTCTTCGTTTCTATCGGTTTCAAATTTTTATTCTCGTTTTACATTTCCACTTGCTTGATTTGGAATATGTTGTGCATTATTAATAATTTTATGTTGATTCACTTAGTGTGTATCTTGAGACTTGTTACTATTCTTTGTTTGCAAGATAAATCATAAAAAAATATTTTTGCTTGGAAGGTAATATACAAAAGTATCATCTTTAAGTGCTAGTACTAATTCTTCTTTAATATGCCTTTTGGATAATTTTTATTAATGGATATCGCATTGCTCTTGATTAATGTCGAATAGGTTTCCAAATATGAATATCTCAAGTTTAATATTTGACTCATTTTTTAGATATCAATATCTTATTTTTTAGGAATAATAATTCATTACTTAATTTTCATTAATTGTCTAAAAAGTTTTATATAAAAAGGGCAAGTGTGGTGGCTCCTATCTTTTTGATGTCCTTGGCATCCTGATGGTGCCTTGCAATAATATAATTATAATAGTTTAGTCATCTTGTGTGAAATTTTGCATACTTTTTTTTTTATTTTCTTCGGTTGATTGTGGTATCTTTGCCCAACTTATATGCATTTAGTGCATTGATGCTTAGCAAGTGGCACATTGTTGAGGGACTTGTTTTTTTTTAGTTATTTAGGTTGTTCTTCCCAACTAGTGTTGCACTTTTATTATTTTTAATAAATTGGTTATCGGCCTACTGATCTATGAAGCATGGAGTTGAGCTTAGTACATGATATAGGGGATAAGACGTCAAAGGGATGCATAAGATGAAAAATATTGATGCTATGTGTGTGTGTGTGTGTGCGCGCGCGCGCGTGTGTGTGTGTGCGTGTGTGTGTGTGTGGGCGCGCGCGCGCGTGTGCCTTCGCCTGGTGTGTGTGTGTGTGTCTTCGTCCGGATCATTGGTTGCGGCCTTTGGTGTAAGTCCCTTGAGTCCGGGGTTCGATCCCTGCGTATGATCGAATTGCACCTTCTGGAAAAGGGGTTCGCCTCTCGGTCAGACTTTGGGGTTGATCAGCGATCAATCTATATATATATATATATATATATATATATAGTTTACACGATGAACAAATATGGACTAAAAATGAAAATAAATTAGAGTACTATTCTAATCACCACATTTTTCATGAATGATTCGTGAGAATTCCAAAATTATCACTTTATGTATTTCATAGAGTTCAAAATTCATTTTGAAGCTCTAAGGCATTTCTCAAATTGTCTGCAAGTTTTCTGATAGTTTGTAAATGGAATTACTCAAGCTTCAAACTCCAAATATTCCATGAGGGAGCTGGATGCTTCCATTAGGGTTCAAGTTTCAAGTTCATAAAAAGAAACATGCATTATTGAGTATACCAAAAAAATAGCTATCTAATCCTGTCCAAATGCAAGGACCAACCACTGAAGGTTGATTTCAAGGAGAAGTGTAAATGCATTATTTTTTAGGATAAGTTATTATTTTAATGCTTAGTTGTAGGTTCCTAGCTTTGAGTTATTTACTTACAAAGAAGTTTGTTCATGTTCAAGATTACTTAAAAATTTTGCTTGTTTCTAAAATTTTATTTGAATTTCTATAAATAGAGATCAATGTAATCAATGAAAACAAGTTGAAAATTGAATGAGAGGATGAGTCACTTGAAATGAAACCTATCTCTCTCTCTCTCTTCCACTCTCTTTTTGTTTCCCTCTAAATAATTATTGGTCTCTAGTCTCAAAAGAAACTTATAATTCTCTCTTACAATATTTTTTGTCCCTAGAGATTGGCCATATCAAGTAATTAACTATTTTATATTTATAGTTGTTGGTTATATGGTGAAGATAGTCACGCTTACCTTGATCTAGGGATCCAATTATAAAAGGGATAGTCAATTTGACCTTTCATTCAAAAGAAGTTGTAAAAAAAAAAATTCCTCATAATTTTGGTGTTTAATAGTAATGATCAAAGGGATTGGTGATCAAAGTGTTTGTTCGCTGACTATCTCTTGCTGGAGATTGCTAGTAGTATGTTTTTTCATATCACACCATTAAGATTAAAGACTAAGCTAATCTATATCCTTGAGTAAAAGATGGATCATTGATTCGATGCTTAATGATCAAGATTTGGTGGTAGAAAGCTTGATCGTTCATTGGATGCTTAATGATCAATATTTGTTGGCAAAAAAACTAGATACTTGGGTGGTGATAAGAATAAAAAGATAATGGTGGTATTTATATTTTGAGCTTGTTTTGGATGAGTATGGAATTTGATTTTAATTTTTTTTTTTAATTTTTTTTTAATTTTTTTTTATTTTTATTTTTTTTTTTTTGTGGAAGGTTTAGATTGTTCTTAAACTCTAATAGCTAGGGATAAGATTTCTCTTTATTTGATTGATTTGTCTTAGGAGAAGATAATATCAATTTTAAGTTAATTTATGCTATTATTACTTAAGGCCATTTCCTGTAGTTGGAAGCAATTCCAAATCTTTCAAAAATCTTTTTCTTCTACTCTCTCTCTCCTATAGAACCCTTTTTGGACCCAAACACCTGCTGGATCTCTTCCAGGGTTGCTGATGGTTGCTCAATGCCACAATCTTCTAGAGTCCAACTAAAGTTCGAGCCAACAGTGCCCTTTAGTTTTTGTTGCCACTTCTACAGCTCCAGAAAGCTTTTAACCCACAACTAGGAAGAAAACAATTTATTTATCTGTGTTTTGGAAATTCTGATTTGAAACAGTAAGGATATTAAGCTCTCCTACACCAGAAATGATTTTCATAGGAGTAGATTGGGATCTTAAAAATTATTTTTCTTCTTGATTTTGCTATTCAACAGTGAACCTTTTCACAGTTGACAGAGTATAAAGGAAGTTTAGTGGTAAAACTAGTGAGCATACGCATGAAAAATAGATAGGGAATTCTCAACCAAAGGAGGGGAAAGATCATGGAAAATGCTCGTAAGAAAACTATTAGCCTCGGAAGTGGCAACAAAAACTATTATGTTACTATGGTATCATCATTTCAATTTGCTTACTAGTTTAATATCTATTATTTCTGTTCACTGCCATCTTGTATTGAGCTTTTTCATTTCATTTGTAGATTAACTTGATAGGATTACTTAAAAGAATTAGGAAATTCTGTTTGATTTTATTTGTTTGTTTTTGGCAGTTTTAGTCTGGGAAGGATACATATAATAGGTAATACATCCTTATTAAATTTCCAAAGACTCCTTCCAATCTAATTTGAAAGTTAGGGACGCCTATCTCATTCTATCCAAGATGGCTTTTGATCATAATTGGTATTAATGCTTGGTTCTTGGCTTGGAAATTTAAAGTGAGGCCATAATAGTAGACAAATTTGACACATTGAAGGAGATGGCAATACACCAATTGAGAATAATATTAGATTTGCATTAATTAAGCATTAATAGGGGTGTAATATCGGCCTATTTGGATTGATCGGTTCATTGATTGGTTAAATCAAATGAAATTGAAATCCAAAATTGAGAAAATCGAATCAACTAAACATTTGTTAAAATTAATCCAAGCCTAACTGAATTGTAATTTTATTTAACTTGTTTAGTTTTGAGCAAATCCAAATTCAATACTAGGCCTAAA